CCTCCCTTTAAGCACCCACTTATTCTCAAATTTTTTATAATGTTGAAAGTCAGAATAACAACACAAATCTAACCTATATAACTCAAAAGATTTGTCATGAAGTCGACTCATTTTCAAACACAAAGGCACAAACTCATTCCAAACAACCTACTTAACACGAGGCATAGCAATCATTCAAAATTTAGCTGGAGGATTATTTTTATCATTTCTAATGAGTGTGAGTGATTCTTAGAAGTGATATCAAAGTTTATAGAAATTATATCAATAAATCGATTAAATGCAATGTTAATGACATTTTCATACTCTTACACTTTTTCTAGATCTAAACATTAGAATTGTATGTTGTGCATGTTTTTTTTTTTAAGCTATATGTTTTTTTGAAGCTATATGTTAATAACATTAAAATACAGGAGCCATGTTGTAATGGGTATCATATATTGAGATGTGGTTAATCATGATAGTCGAAATGAAGCAACATTAATAGTTGCTTCAGGTGCATTGTTCATGTGTCTAAGATAGGCTTAAGTGTTAATGCAAACCAATCTAAATATATAAATATCGACACTTCTATCTAAATAAACATATTTCATGTTGATGCAACATTAGGCCAAAAAATATGTCTTATATTCGGCATTATCCATAATCTTTCTTGCAATAGAACAACTTTGAGGGGGACTTCTATGTACAATCATATTCACTAATTGCACCATCATTGTTTGTTCCTCTAGCACTATTTTAGATAACTTCATAGTTGGTGTCATCTGCTCGTTACCACCCAAAATGATATTGGATGTCATCTTTAGTTCTTCCTTACTACATATATATTGCTTGTAATAAACCAGGTAGCCATCAGTGTCATAATAGATTAAGGAGGAGGTTGAAATTTTGTATTTTGGAGAGCATATGCCTACCACTCTTAGCTTTAATTCTTGTTAATTTTCCCTATTTCTCCATAAAGTCTTAAAAAACTCTCTTATTGATTTTATAATTGCAACCTCATGGTAAATTATTTTCAATTTTCATTATAATAAACACATGATTTTAAGTTGAACTACCAAAGTCCTTCATTTATTTTTTTATAAAATCCCCTAAACCCTTGTTTTGTTTTCTCCTTCTCTCAACAGCTAAAGACATTTCTATTTGACAAAAGATCATGTCCCCAACACTAAATAAGCCTCTTTCATATTTCCACCATTACATACTCAAGAAGAATCAAGCATTCATGCTTAGCTCAACTAAGTATTATTCAACTTTAATAAAAGAAAAAAATTATGTAAAGTGGATATAATATGTGGTAAATGATAGAATAACCACATAGACCACGAGTCTAATAATAACCCTTTTCTTAATTTATGTATTTATATAAGTATATATCCAACTCAGTTATATAGATTATATGTTTTAGGTAAGTTAAAATTCCCTTGAAGCACCTGATCTTTTTAAAAAAATTAAATTAACAACAGAATATGTTTATAATTAATTGAGATAATTTAAGAAGTTATAGCTTCTTCATCACAAGAGATGACCCAAATGAATTTCATAAATATCTCTGTAAACACTAAAACTCTTAATATGACATTGAGATTAACTAAAAAAAGAGTTTTTTTTTTATCGAACTGAGTGAACATTAAGAAGCATTAAATGTTAACCATATAAGCTCCATTATAATTCTTCACATTCAAAATATCCAGAATATGTTTATAATTAATTGAGATAATTTAAGAAGTTATAGCTTCTTCATCACAAGAGATGACCCAAATGAATTTCATAAATATTTCTGTAAACATTAAAACTCTTAATATGACCTTGAGATTAACTAAAAAAAGAATTTTTTTTTATCGAACTGAGTGAACATTTAGAAGCATTAAATGTTAACCATATGAGCTCCGTTAAAATTCTTCACATTCAAAATATCAATTTTATTAGTATTTTGTTCATACCAAATGTATCATTATAATAATCACAAAAGAAATAATTGTATACTCTTGGGAGAGAGACTTATCTCATTATTCTAAAAAAGAAGGTGTCGATGCTTGACTGTATAATTATTTTCCTTTATTTAGGTTGTAAGTAGGGTTAGAGGTTCAATGATATTTTGGACTGCAACGTTTAATTTTAAAGGTTTTACTATTTTATTTTCTTATAATTTGGAGCAAGATATTGTTTTGTAAATAGTTGTTATTGTTTTGGGCTCTTTTTAAAATTTGAAGTCATTAGTCAATCTAATTATCGTCTATAGATGCCATTGATGATTATATTCATAATTTTCTTAATAACGTAATTAAATTGCAAAGAGTCTAATTTATATAATTCATAAAGACCATTTGGTCATTATATTGAACATTCTTTACAATTATTTGTAATGGATAATGGATAATGGCTATTACCTCATATGATCTAATTTTAATCAAATAATTATTAGCCTTGGGCTAATATAGATGACCTAAATCAAACACAAGCTACTACAATGGCTAAAGATGAATTTTTTATTTATGATTTGAAGACACAAAGCCATAGGCAATGTTTTCATGAGGTTATTGATGGTGATAATTTGAATCTTTAACAAACATATTCTCATGACCAATCATATCAAATATAATGATCTCTTGAGAAGAATCTAATCATTGATATATGACAATTTTTCATTATTTTTACACAAATGATAGTTTACCCTCTCCAAGATAAGCATTTTGGTAGAATAACTATAAAATGAAGCATTGAAGGCATCATAGTTTGAATGTTCTTTATCTTCTTCAACTAATTGTAGTGTAAAAAGTGAACATCATCTTGATAATCAGTCTGTAGTATGTTGATCACAAACATTAAATTTAAAAAACCCCCTAAGCACACTAGTATAGTGTTGAGCCACAACACAATAAAACATTTATGTCTGGTGCAATTGTTGCGAGCATAAGAGAATGGATGTAGCCCAAGATGGCCAATCTGGCTTGGCTACTCTAATTCAGTTTAGCCAACTTGAGGCTATTCAGTTCCAATACCAAATTTCATGAATTTGCATAATTGATCGTATCATATATAAGAGATAATTTGACTAGTGCGACTCTTTGATTGACAAAGTTTTATAAGACCTCTCGGATCACATGTTCGGTCCCACGTATGTGCGGAATGAAATTCTTAGACATATGAGGTTCGTTGGGAGGCTCGTCTAATAGCCTCTGACCAATCTTTATAGATAAATAAAAAAAAAAAGAAAGAATTTTGCTGTTCTGAGCTTCTTTGATCATCAATTGAATTAACTCAAGCTTTTCAATCATCTCCAATTGTCCCAACAACTTGGGACCTTATTGAACATTCTTACGTAACATGTGTGCATGAAACCATGACTCATTTCAAAATCTAATCAAAAAACATTTTATAGATATATGTTAAAAGTGCATTTTTAATGGAAGTTCCCATCTTGTATAAAAGATTTTTGTGTGTGTGGAAGATTTACACACATACCACTAAACTCGTGCATATTTACATATCTCACCCTTAAACTTCAATTTTTACATACATGCTACACTATTTAAGCATACAAGTTTGCATTTAACTTTTTAAAGCTAAAATGTTGGTATTTTTTGTGTGATATGAAAGTTCTGGGCGGTATTAAGGTAAAAAAAAGTAAAGTTTACGGGTGAGATATGTAAATATATAGGAATTGAGTGATATATCTGTAAATGAACTTTTTTTCCTCTTTTGTCAAAATGTCTATTCAGGAATTACATGATGCACACCACGTTTATGCCCCTGTGATCATAAGAGCTGTTCAATTAGTTGTGTTTCGATTTGGTACATGCCAATGCCAATACAAATAATATATTAATATACATAAGAAGTGACTGAGTTCCAATCACTCGGTCTTGGCCGTTCGAACTTGATCACCCGACTTCGATTACTCGACCCTGGTCACTCGGCTTAGCGCATTTCATTTTTCTGACTTGTAATTACCATCTCACAACCTCGTCTATTGTTTATGCCTATCTAGGATGGCTTCGATTGGCTGATAAATTATGAGCCGTCTAATTCTCAATAATCTAAATCGTCTCATATATAATGATCATGACAGCACCGTAATATGAAAAAAAAAATTATTTTTATATGAGTGATTTATGTACATGATGTTTAATTCTTTTATTTTATCTCCCACTTTATAAAATTTTATTTTAAAATATATAATATATTAATTATTAAACAACATGAAGAATAGCATGCATATTTATCTCACTTTCGTATTATATTGAATATTTCAAATATTGGACAGCTAAAGTGCTCTACAAATAAATGGAATATTGACACACATACTTAGGGCTGTCAAAAAAGCTCGTTGTTCGC